TTCTGATGAAGTGCAAAAGTGTCTCAATACGTGAAGACTATTAGATTGACTGTCTTGGGAGAAGTACAGCCAGAATGCTTCTTAGAGGAAAAGGCTGCAGATTTTTTCTCACGTACTTTGGACATGTTATTAGGAGAGACCAGTCCCTGGAGAAGAACACCATGCTTGATAAAGAGGAGGGGCAGCTAAAAGGAGGAAGCGTCCACATGAGACAGGCTGACAATGTGGCTGTAACATGGGTGAAAATGTGACAATTGTGAGGTTGGTGCTAGAGCAAATGCTTTCCTTCTGCTGTACATAAGATCACCATGAGTCTGAACTTAACCATCACAACAACATAAGGTTGACTTTGATATGCAAAGTTTTTTAAGGTTGGAAAACAGATGTATCATGAGTTCTTTCTTGTTGTTTTTTTTATCATGCTATTATGCTGTTTAAGACTCCCTGACTCTGGCCACTCCAGGGAAGGGGTATACCAACATATTGAGATCAAGCTTTCAGTGTGACCAAAGGAAATATGAAAGATATTTCTTTCACTTCGGTAAACAGATTGTGGTTTCCATGCTGCCCCTGTGAACCTGGTGCAATTAAAGTGTTCTGGAACAACGACCATCTTTCTGTAAGTGCCATCACCTGGATGGTCAATTAAGTTAGCCTTTGCTCTGGAAGTGGTTTCTCTTGTGCCCAGACCGGCTGCCTTTCTTCTACCACAGCTGTTTCACAAAGAGGAGAGAAGGAGAAAATGTGCTGAGGAGAGTTTAAGGACTGTTTGCAACAAGTCTATTAGTAAACAAGACTTAAATTTTTCCAACATGTGTTCTCAGCATGGTACACTGTGGATTATATATAAGGATAGGTTTATATAGCACGAAAGAATATAACAGCTAATTAGTCCACACAGCAGTACAGAGGGCTCAGTTCAACTCACTTCCATGGAACAGTTAGTCCTTCAACTCATGGATGTCCTTCAACTCATGAGGACTGCTGCATTCAAGGTCAAGCAAGCAGACAGCTGAGTCTTCCCTTGAGTAATGCAGGCAGAGTCCACCAACGGGCAGCAAACAGCAGGGCAGGTCACTAACAGCCTGCAGCTCAGGAGTTTAGCGAAGCAAGTCTGGAAGGGATATTGAATTCAAGTAATGCAAGATGACAGGATCCACCAGCCTCAACTCAAGTGATGCACATGCCAGCAGCATGGTGAAGCAGGTCTTGAAGGAACTTCAAGCTCTAGCAACAAGATTTAGAGATAATGTAGCTCACAATTTGAGGCAAGAACTAGCTAAAGCAGCCCCACGCTGATCTGATCACCAGAGAATAAGAAAGCGAGGGGCGGGCCGTGATGAATCATTTATCTCTTTGCTCTCCAATCAAACTGCAACCTGATTCATCCCATATGTTCCTATTAGTCAAGCTGGAACAATAAACCTACCTATCACATACACTATCAAACTTGTACTAGTATCAAATAGCCAATGGAGGTCTTGTGACCTTCCCATCCCAGAACAGCTGACACATGTTTATGTTTTAATCTCCTTAATAAATAATAACTGGGGGAGTTTTTCCTACAAAATAGGCACTCCACACATGTCTTCTGGTTTGACCTATGGTCTAACAAATTTAGGAGCACCAACCATCTAGCAAAGTGATGGCATGGTAAGCTTCCAATATACCAACACTCTTAAATTCAAATAATCAAACCCTCTGCCATCAAGTTGATTCTGACTCATTAGCAACCCGATGTAAAGTTTCCAGCCTGGTAAATCTTTACAGAACATACAACCTCATCTTTCTCCAGAGGAAGTGCTGGTGAGTTTGAACCCTAGACTTTGTGGTTTGCAGCACAATGCCTAACTCACAGGGCCACCAGGGACCCTCAGCATTATCTTAAGATGTCAGAAATGCAATCAGAAAGACTGAGAAATCTGTGACACAAAAAGAGTTTACCATTCACCAAACAAAAATGGTATTCAGTTAACATTTTCACTAGGAAAAATAAAAAAGACAACTTCAGTCATTGAATACATTAAATAAGAGGAGAGAATTCATTTCAGCTTCATTTCCTATCAGCCTTTATATTAATATCTTGATTTCCCAGATATTATCTAGGCATAAAAGTTGTTTTTCCAATTTCTCATTTAGATGAAAGATATTCCACATTGCCAACTGCCACACTAAGGAGTAAGCAAATGCTCTTTGGCTTTTAGTGAAAACAGAGAATAAAACAATAATTATAATAACTCACACTGATTTGGATGATCTTCTCTACGGAGGCTCAGGAGAAAGCAGCGCTTGGGATGCAGCAATATTGTTAACCACATAAATGACCTTCTAATTGCAAAGATCTCCTGGCTCAACTGGGATATCATTTCTAAAATCATATCCTCGTAATTTATTTTTCTGTCCCCTGAAGAGCTGGCCGGAGGTCAGCTTTGTCATGTGAGAGACAGCATCTCTCTTGCTGTCGCTACAGCAAACTGTCATTTGCTTTTATTCCTTCATCTGTCCTCCTCGCCTTTATTCGTCTGTTTGAAAAGGAATTTCACAGCAGACGTGGTCAAATGCTGATGATTTCATCTCATCCGCATGGCTTTCCCAAGAGACAATTAAGCACCAATTGTAGGATTAGGTCCCACAAGGTCACAGACATGGCCATCTAGTTCATGACTAACCACCCTAATCCTGTCATGTGGAACACGGAGCTTACACAACAGTTGCCAAGAAATTGCAGTAGAGCAAATGATTGCAAATTGGCTTCGGTACATCTTTCTCTGTACCTTTGCCTTCTAACCATTAAAAATAAAGGAGAGGGGGATGTTGACTAGAGATCTCAGGTCCCTTCAGCTCTCCTAGAGAGAATAGGCAGCTTTAGAAAGCTCTCTAGAGCAGGATGGATGGTAGCTCAGAGGTCAGAACCGACTAAGCAATGTCATTTTTGTGTACCTGAGTGATGTAACTGTCTAATACACTGAACTACAAATGTGAAGTTTGAAGGTTCAAGTGCTCCCCAAGTGAACCTTGGAAAGAAAGGATTAGTAACAACTTCTAAAACAGCAACCATTGAAAATGTTATGCCGCACCGTTCTACTCTGAGACACACAGGGTTACCATGAGTCACAACTGCCTTGAGGGTCACTTGTTTGGTATTATTTTTTATTTTTTAAAGCTAAGGATTACAAGGGATTGCCTCTTGTATATGGTCTGAATAGTGACTTTCTCTAATGTAGGATGTGGGTTTGCTTCTCTGCCTAACTTCTTATACTCCCTCAAATGCACAAGGCATTGGTACTGCAGTTAGGGTGCTTAGAACAGATGTAGAACTTACCTGGAAACGACCCTTCAGTCTAGCAGCTATCATTATGAGTCATAGAATAGCTTCTAGATGTGTATCTTACTTCCCAGTCCCCTTAGATGAATCCTGCTTATACACAACTTCTAATGGCATTGCTGTGCAACAACTATTCCACTAGCTTTATATTTCTTACCTGTACAGTTTCCACGTTTCTAGGGCTCTCTGCCACTGGTGTGCTATTATCTTACTTTCCATTAGAAACCACCTTTTTCTAATCCAGAAATCTCCACTTCATACTCATTTGTGCCTCCAAGCCTTCATTAACATTTCTACCTTCTCCAAGAATGCTCTCTTGCTTCTTTTTTTGCCTTCCACATGCTCCAATTTTTAAATACCCATCTCAATGTTCACCTCTTACGCATGGCTGCTACAACACATTACTGACTCTATTCTTGAAAGCATAGAGTTGAAGGGACACAGTAAAACAGTTGTGTTTGAGGGCTCTAGAATTTCTGTAGTTAATAACCAACTTTATGGACAAGCTACCCAAAGCATCTGGAAAAGTATGCAAATGAATAGGCTTGTCTGGGTTCCATTAAATATTCACAATTCTGGTCTTATAATATTTAACATCAAAGCTATGATATTATATGAAGCATAATAGCAAAACCATAACACCCTGTTCATTAATGGGTTAAGTGGAGTAACAATGATCATCAAATTAGACTTTTAAGCTTTACAAGGCTAGGAATTAGTTTTAAAAACAAGTTATATCACTTGTACCAACTACCATAGCACTGAGCATCTGAGGAGTTAATTATTTTGTTTTTCAGTGATCTCACCTGTATAATGACTTATTTGAATTAATGTCTTCTCTATTCCTGTTAATGATACCCAATGGCACAGTTGTTAAGTGCTCGGCCTCTAACCAAAAGTTGGGTGCTCAAATCTAAATCTGACAACTACCATATGGGAGAAAGTTGAGCCTTTCTATCTCCATAAGGATTGACTGCTTTGGAAACCCCCAAGGGCACTTTTACTCTGTCCTACAGGCTCATTACCAGTAAGAATCTACTGGATGGCAGTGATTGAGCTTATAAAAGGTGGGTGGGTGGGGGGAGGGGCGGCTGGCAGACTCCTAGGCTTTTAAAAGAGAAAGTGTTAAATCTTAGACATGGGCATGAATTGGATCAGTTAAATGTTTGAAGAGCTGTTGTTTTCTCTGAAAACTCCAGAACCAAAGGCAATTTCCTCCATTCACCAAAGTAATACTGAGATTATGAAAATTACATAGCATCAGAAACTAACAGAAATCCATACAAACATTACAGGTTTAATATATGATCAATAGAGCATCATCGTATTTCATACTGTAAGTAATGAAACGATGGATACTTATGTGACAGTCACATGTGTGAATGAATATGTTGTCTCATACCTTTATAAAATGTGAAATTTGTTGCTTTATTGGGGAAGTTGAGTCTTAATCAGAGATAATAGAACTCCCTCCCAGAAATCCAAAATTCTTTTTTTTTTTTAAAGAAAAGTGTCTTTCTAAGTTAGAGTCCCCCAAATACTTACCACTGGTATTTTCAAGTGCCTACTGACTGGTAATGGACAGAAAGCCATAAGGAGGAGGTAGGAGACCAGAAACAATGGATTATACTCTTTCTTGAATTTAACAAGAAAAGGACCTTAAGATACTCGACTTGACCTCCCAGGATCGTATCTGGAGAGTAGCTAGTCTTCTGCTAATTTTGGAGACACGAGGGAAAATACGCCTGTCAGAGACCCATTCCATTCCTCGTTTGCTCAGTAGCTGGTGATTGGAAGAGGCTCTGTGACAGTGTTCAGGTCCTGGGCAGGGAGGCCATGGCTACCCTCAGACCCTTGGTAAAGCCTAAAATTGTCAAACAGAGGACCAAGAAGTTCATCCGGCACCAATCCGACCACTATGTCAAGATTAAGCACTTCTGGCGAAGGCCAGAGGCATTGACCACAGGGTTCAGAGAAGATTCACGGGCCAGATCTTGATGCTCAACGTCGATTACGGGAGCAACAAGAAAACCAAGCACATCCTGCCCTGTGGCTTCCGCAAGTTCCTGGTCCACAATGTCAAGGAGCTGGAAGTACTGCTGATGTGCAACACGTTTTACTGTGCAGAGATTGCTCACCACGTTTCCTCCAAGAATCACAAAGCCATCATAGAAAGAACAGCCCATCGTAGAAAGAGCAGCCCATCAGAGTCACCAATCCCAACGCCATGTTGCGCAGCGAAGAAAATGAATGGACAGCCTGTTTATGAGTTTCATTTGTGCTAAATAAAACCATAAATGAAAAAAGAAAAAGAAATAAAGAAACTCTACCTAATAGCAGAGTGACAAAGATTTCTACCAGATTCCCAACAGGCACCCTTCCCCGCCACCCTGCCCCTGCCCTGATTTCTCTGCAGATTTAAGAGTGTTTCCTGGCTTCCCAACTTCAGCAAGAATCTGGGTAAAACATAGTTAATGATAATTGAAGTTTACCCCTTTAAATTCCCCATTAATTTTATAGAAAGGCACTATCTTCTTCCTTGCCTTCTAAAACATAGCCCAGACATCACAGTTTAACTCTCAGTTATGCATGCTTGATAATCTAAGCATGATATTTTGTGTTAGATAAGATTTCCTAATGGCTAATTACAGAGAAATTGACAGCCATCTGGCTCCACATCCCTCATGAGATGAACCACTGTGTGTTGGGAAATTTTGTCCTGTTTTTCATTTCTTTGTCATCTTCAAGTATCACTCTGCCCACTGTTACTTCAAATCCCCAGGCCCCTTCTTGTTAATAGTTTATAACATCCTGCCCTTCCTTGGCCTCCTGGCTGAACTCAAACCTTCAATGGGCTTTGGTAAACAAATATGGTACCCCGATTGGTTACCTTAGTGGTAACATGAAAGTAAAGAGACTATATGTGAATGGTTTAATCTTAAAATAGAATGTGCCGGGTTTATTTGTATTATTTCTAGATATTTGACTGTGTTTTTCTGTTTAAGGTTCAAGAAAAATAATGTACAGGCAAATAGGGTGTTTCGTAAGCAGAGGAACAGAGAAGGAATACAGTTGTGCTTGACCCATTTCCACTGTGTGCACTCTGTCTTTGAAGAGCTGCCCTTCCCACCCCCACTTTCCTTTGACAATGCTTTGTCCTTGGCATGTGAACTGAGCACTTCTGTTATCCAGTGAACAAATAAGGAGAGATATGAGTTGTACACATAATCTTTATCAAACAAAGAAAGTACATCTTGTAGTTAAGAGGAAAGGGCTGATGGTTATGCTTTGATTCTGGCCTCAAGTGTGATAGACACACACACACACACACACACGGTAATTTCAAGCAAGCTACTTAACTTTTCTGAACCCCTTTTTTCTTTCTGGTCTCTGAAGGGAATGGCTGAATCATCTCAAAGGTTTGTCTTTTATTTTTGTTTGTTTTTTCTTTATAATGCCCAAAGCCTAGAATTCTGTTCTTTGTGACATGGTCTTCCTCAGTAGGGGAAACCTTCCCAAAGCATCCACGAATCATTTTGATCATGGAAGGATTTCCATCTCAGCATTGCCCATCCCTCTAGATCACCTGTTAAAATGTCCATTCTCTTAGGTATTTCTAGATGGGGAAGCTTTAGAGCTGAAGCACACTTGTCAGTTGGCCGCACACATTTCTTTTCTGCACTGAACCACTGATGTCATTGCAAAGCCAAGACTTCTCAAAACAAATATTGGCTGCTGATCTGCAGGTGCACATCCACAGAGGAGGTGAGCTGACATAGCTCACATGGGGACCAGATTGCAAACTTTCCCAAGCCATAGACCTTTGGAAATGTGGGAAGACATTTATTTGACCTCCTTTTCTTCTCATAGAGATCTTGCCTAGCTCTGTTCTAATTCTGTGTGTAGAAGTGGGACCAGAAAAGAGAAATACAGAAATACCTCAAGGAAAGTGCCTTTTCCCACACATCTAACGTGATTAAAACTGAGGTGCATGCCTCGGCCTCTTCTCGAGCTGAGAGCTTAGCCTCCAGGGAACTGCAGGCGAGAAAGGATAAGTGGGACTGAAGCAAAAGACAAACACGTTCCGTGCGTTGGTTGTCCAGGGCAGGCATGGGAGAGAGGGTTTTCTCCCAGGCATGAAGTCCAGGAAGGCCCAAATTCAGACTTCCAGTGAAGACACCTTTTGTGGTACTTGAGGAAAAATGCTTGAGGAGATTTGGCTTAGAGAATTGGTCTACACTCTTTTAGTTCTGACAATGCAGGTTGGGTTTGTTGCAGTGGGAGTTCAGTTATGGTGGCAAGAGAAATCTGACCTTATCTAAAATACCGTGCGAGGGAGAAAAGTAGCTGTCTCTCTCCAATGAATGAACAATACAGCTCATCGCTGCTCATGTCTATGAGGGAGGGAGGAAAATCCAGAATCTGTGCTGAATCACCTCCTCTTCTTCTCAGTCTTCCTATCAGAAAATTAAGGACCTGGGCTATAGATGCTCTGCAGGGATCCCAGATCCTGGTGAGAAGGCTCTTTCATGTTTCAGTAGTGCCCTGGTCCTGCCAAACCATATACAATAGATTATTACAGGACATCAATTATATACCTTTATAGAACATAATATTTATTCATTGGTTTCTGTACTTTATAGTGTGCATAAATATGTAACAGACAGCATGAGTGAGTGTTCTTACATTTCATTCTCTGAGAACACAAAAACACTTGGCTTATACATGTATATTAAACAGATTTTAAAATAAGGTATTTTTTAAAATACAGCGCTGTCTAAAGGAATGAGTAGACCTAAATCACTTGAATATTTTTTTCTAAGGGAAACTTTGCCGTGTCTTCTTCCTCCACTCAGGTCTCCCTCCACAATATCAGCAAAGCACACTCCCAGTGCTTTGAATGTCATAATTCAGCATGATTATGCCAGCATTTCACTCCAGGGCTGTAGCAAGGATTATGCTGGTAGAGCTGGGATAGGAGGGCAGGTTGTAATCGTCGATCTAATATCTTTCCTTCAATAAGATCAACAGACACCAAGGACACACCCATTTCTCCTGTAGACCGGAATACCGTAATCTTACTGTGCTTTCTTCTTGTGGTGGATACCAAGGTTAAATTCATAACTTCTCAGATAACTATCAATATATTTCTGTATGCATTTATTTTTCTTTATCTAATCCTTCAGAGTCTAAGTATTACACTAGAAACTGAGAAAGTAAAAACCATGCAAACACACTTCACCTACCCTTCTGGCACCCCTAAATTCCCCAGGTAGCTCACTTTGTCTAATGCCATTACTATTATCACCACCACTCAAGAGTCACCTTAAAAAATTTTGACATGTGTGTTTCAAGTTTAGGGTTGTTAAAATTTAGTCACACATATAAGGATAGTGTTACTTATATGTGCAACTGACAGGGAAATATTGCAAGTATGAATTTTAGACTTTTGAGATATTGATTTACTCTGTAAAGTCCTTTTGAGTGAACTTACCTACAATAATTATTTCTTATTATCTGGATTTTCATGAGTGGATTGGAGAAACAACTGCCACTGTGACTGTACTGTAATGTTAAGGAAGCTGGCAATGGAGTTGTGTAATGGAGAGAAAGCTGTATTGCATACTGGTACAGACACCGGAATTACGCTTAAGCACAATTTCTCTATGAAGAACATAGAAGATGAACTTTATCATCTGCTTGGAGAGTTTGTGAAAATGAATGTCGGGAATGTAGAAAGCTAAGAAAATGAAGAGTGGGAGAATAGGTAAAGTCATTTGTTTCCTGTTTGGGGGCCAAAAATATAATAACACAAAAATCAAAATGGACTACTCATATACTTGTATGTTACTAGTATACTAATTGGATAAGCATTGAAAAATATTTGCTAATCATAATAAAATAAATTATAAAAATAAAATTAAGAAAAGTATGCTACAATACTTTTAAGGTGAGAGTAAAATATCAATCTCATACACAGGATATATATATATATATATATCACACCAAGTTTGCTAATCATAAATTAGCAGCATGAGTATATATGTATATAAACACACACACACACACACACACACACAGTGAAGTAATTATCACAAGGCACTTTGAAAGTACATGCCTGTAGGGAGAAGAACTGGGGTTTGGAAAGGTGTGGGAGAGAAAATGCTATGTTTAGATATATGTTTTAGTACTATTCATTTTTGTTTACTTAGTTTTTAATTAGTCACACATATTATAGAAGTAAAAAATTAAAATAAGATTAAAGCACTGAAGTTGGCCTAAACTGATCCCTAGAACACACCACCATTCAGAAGTAAAGCAAAAAATGACAAACCAACTAATGGGAATTAGTATCAGTTGCCAGGGAAGTAAAATAATATGATATCATACAGAACCAGAAAAATTATAATTTCATAAAAATAGATTGACCAACCATGTAAATAGTGACAGCAATTTTAAATAAGAGTAGAGATGTGCTCTTTGGACATGGCCAAATGGAGCTTGTTACTGACACTGGCTGTCAGAATTGAGTGACTTCACAGATTGAATGATTGAAAGAAATCCAAGTCCCCAAATGACAGGAGGGGAACATGACACAATAACAGAGCAAGCAGGAAAAGGCAGAGGAATCTTGTATGAAGGGGACCACAGTTCTGGATTACTATCTAGATAAGCACATAAGATTTAAGGATATTATGTTCTCCGCATAATAAGCGGTGGGTATGGACGTAACTTCATGTAGTCAAAGCTTTGGCACTTGGCAAAAGTGACAAAAAGGTTCTAACATTTTCGAATGTTTGGGCCAAAATAAAA